CTGAGAATTCTATCCTACAAGCTACTTGCTCACATCAGGGGGTCCAACTGATAGCCATATGTGGGGTCAGGAAGCAATTGTCCCCCAAATCAGACTGACAGTAATATGGGGGGTTTATCGTCCTCTACAGTGTGGGGCTGTTGTGTTTTAGATGCTGTTTGTAATTATTAGAACTGGAAGCACTGGCTGTTGGGAATCTGGAAGCACAGGAAACAGGAAGGAGGGGGGAGGAGATGGGCCAGGCCTGAGTGAGAGCTACAAAGGGGAGCAGCAGCAGCTGTGTAGAGAGGTTTCACCTTTGTTGAAGTTTGTTATTACCTTGCTTGCATGATACAACAGGGGCATGGGGTCACTTGCCAAAGAACATCTGGGTAAATTTCACGTAATCAATTCTCTGCCCTCCCAGGGGCCTCTGGCATTGGTGAAATTCAGTCCTTCCTATTTTCTTCCTGTGGCGTATAATAGTTTAATCTACTCTGGATTGTAATACTGTGGTCTCAATTCAGTTGCTGAGCTCAGAGTGCAGATGCAGGGTGGTCATGATTGACCTGTGATATTCAGGACGTCAGACCAGAGGATCTGGTCATCCCTTCTGGCCTTAAACACCATGATCTTCTCATGCAGTTAAACCACTTTCAAGCCCAAATCAATCAAGGAGAACACAGCACTAAATATCACTCTCCAGATTAATTAATTTTTCTCCTGTAGGCAGGTCCATCAAGCACTGTCCAGTGTGTATGTGTACCATGGCTCTCTGCTAAAAAGTATCAGAACTACTCAGCTGCTAAAGGCCTTCGGCTGGATGACTAAAGAGGAGCCTCATTTAGCAGAAGTGGTAGAGGTCTGTATTTTGAGAACAGGGTGATCTGAACTGTCTCTCCAGGCACTTAAGCACCCAAGGATGGCTGGGGCCTACCAGTATATACTCCAGGACATTTTGTATTATCACAACTATGATACAAAATGTATTTTAAAATTTGATATACTTCAAAACACGGGCTGCAGCATGATTTGTAACTGCAGTAGAATGTTTATGGCTTTAAAAAGCTTCTATTTTGTATCTAGGGCTTCACATGGCACCATGGCACTCACATTTAACATTTGTCCTAGTCTTGCCACCCTAGGTAGACCCTATTTTCCCATTCAGAGAGTATTTCAGAGCCAATAACTGCTCTCAACAATTCTTTCACCTATGAATTGTATCACCTATTCACAAGGGTACCAACAGAATTGCTGGGCTCCTAGGCCAGATGGAGGGAAGGCCAACTCCAAATTCCCTTCAGTGTTGCCTGGAGTGCAGCCACGAAGGCTCTGGAGTATACAGCGCTGGGCTCCAGCGACAATTTAAAGGACCCACTGCTGGCAGCTCTGGCTACAGCAACTGCATTAGCCAAGAGCCCATAGCCCTTTTGAATTGCCAGGCCTCAGGGCAGTTGCCCTTCCCTGCCTATTCTTTGATCAAGCAGCTGCACTAGTTAGCAAGCTATCTTTGGAAATATCTCCCATGTTTTAGGGCAACCATTTGCATCAGGGTGAGAAAAGGAATGCTTAAATAATCAGGGAAGAGGGCAGAAAAAAATTAAATTTAGTCTTTCATCTTTCACACAGAAATCAAAGGTTTTATCATTTGCCTGATTGTTTAAGAAAATATTGTTTGGCACTAAGTTAAAAGGAGGTTATGAACTGTGTCTTAATGGCTTTGGAATTCGTGTATAGTGTGGTTAGGCATTTAAATATAGAAGGAATCCCAGCATTTTAATCATGTCGCTGTAAACAAATTTCCTTTCACATTTTTGGCAAGACTATAAAATAAACTGGCAAACCCAAAAGAACCAAATGTTTATATGCTTGACCAAATCAAATCTTTGAGAACGCCACTTGTCAGTTTTGCTTTCTTACAACCCACTAATGTATGTGCATTATATACAAGCTATATCATGTTATTTGACACATGCATTTAAAAAAACAATTATGCAAGCATGTAATGTTTACATGAGAAATTGAAACAGATTTTAATACATACATGAGCAAATCCCAGAAAAGAAGTTACGTGATAGCTGTCGTATATAAAATATGGTGATTAATTATTATTTTATTAATAATTATTATTATTATTATTATAACAGATACACCAGCCAAAAACTTAGCCCTAAACCTTTAGAGCATGTCAGACAGCAGATGGTGTTTCTGTGTTTCACACAGGCTGAGTATCTATAACAGCAAAACAGTCAGATAACCACAAAGTCTTGCTAAGCTGTGAAATAATTTCCTCTTTTACCTTTTTGTCCTATTTTATATGCTTTACACTTATGTGTAACATAGAAAAAAAATCCCACTAGTTTATTTTATACAGCATCAAGGAATACAATATAAATCTAAAAGGGTATTAATTAAGGTTAAGAAACTATCAGAAAATTAAACCCATCTCAAAACATTCAGTAATAGATTAATTCAGTTTGAGGAAGTCTCATTACCTAGGCAATCTGACCACAAAATATTATACAGTTCAAGCAATGCTATCTATTCTAAACAGAAATAGACTGGTCAAATAAATGATGTTAAACAGCTGTATCTCTTCCAAAGTTTCCTTTGTATTAAAGAAACTGATACATTTAAATGGTATACTGAGAAGTCAATACGAAATAAATCTTTAAAGTGAAATAATCAAAATATTTTACAGCCTAAATGACGGTAAAGCCTGATTATCTATGTGACTTTGCGACTGCTAGTGTTTCATGTATTAATGGATCCTACATGGAGATATACAAGATCCATAGTTCCATACAGATATCAAAATTGCCACCCAGACTAATATAGAAAGATAAAAGTTTCTCTCTGTAACAAGACTGTAATGAGACCTTGAATTAATTCAACTCATTTATCTCTTGAAAATTTGTATCAGGCCATGACGACATTGCGAACACAATCATGTGATAATTTTTGACATTGCAAACACTAACATGTGATAATCTTCTATTTTGATTTCCGTAAGTTAGTTGTTTTCCAAGTTCTTTTGGGTCTAATTCAATCTGCACTTTATACAAGGAACACACATCCACAGAACCAAGGAAAAGCTAGTAGAGGTAACAGATCAATGAAATTAATTAACCAATGGGTGTCTTATAACATATTATTGTCACGCAGAAAATTTACTAGCAAAGAATGACACTATTTTCCTACCTCAGTTGGCTTTATAATCACTCTCACCTCCAAGGTAACTGTGCAAGATACAGCCATCTATCACCCACTTAAGATTGTACAAGAGAGACAGTGTAAGTTTCAATGCCAGCATGGATAAGACCACACATACAGTCAATTCTAAACTTAACACAGGCTGCTTCTATCTAAAATAGGAGATAAAAATTAAACCCCCTAACAATACTGGAATTAAGACCTCGCTGTTGTGGGGGACAGCTATCGAAAAGGTATGAAGGACTTCACACCTGCACAGCTTCATATAAGCCACCACAGAACAGAAGTGTATATACCGGAAAGGGTGAGGCCAATGGCTTTGTGGTTACCAAGGTCCAGCTGCCACAAATTTCCACATAGAGAGTAAGGGAGCAGCTGCTGCTGCTGCTGCTGCACAAGGCCATATCAGTTCTCTCAGGTTTTTTTCAAAACTTACGAGGGTAGGAAATGATGAGTTATTGGAGAGAACTTGGTTTTTTAGTGGAGCAGCTATTCTGCTGAGGCCATTACACTAAACTAAATATTGGATCACTACCTGTGGTATTGGCTTTCATTTTTATGTTTTAAGAATGTCACACATTAAGAGAAATTTGCTATGCATGTTAGGAAGCCTAAAATGATATATTTGATTGAACCACAATGCACAGACAGCTGTGAATACAGATGCACATTTATAAACACTATGAAGATGTACAGTACAGAATTATAGCCTCCTCATCAGAGGATACCAAACCACATACGTAGTACATGATCACAATCATAAGCACCAACTTTCCCTCCTCTAGACAGTGGATGCTTGACCCTCCCATCTGGCCTCCAGTTCCGTCCCTACTCCACCCTTTGCCCCAAGTACCTGCCCCACCTCTTTCAACTCTGCTCTGTCTGCGTTTCAACCCTTTCCCCAAGCCCCCGCATCTTCTCTGCCGTCGCATCCTGTGAGCATACCCCTGTTCCCTCTCCCTCCCAGAACACCCCTCATGCCACAAAACAGCTGTTTGTGTCAGGTGGGAGATGCTGGGAGCAAAGGGAAGGAACTGAGGAGCAGGGGACATGCTAG